ACTAAGGAAAACTAAAATAAAGGACAACAAACTGTAACACAAAATGTGATCGTAGATTAGATCCTAGGCTTACGAAGGATATTTTGGGGTCATTATTAGGATAATTTATAATTTTTAGTTAAGTCTGTGGATTAGATGATAGCATTGTTCAACATTAATTTCCTGCTACTTTGTAAGAGAGACTATTTTCAGGAAATACATGTTTGAATGTTAAGGCATAGTGGAGTATCGTGTCTATAGCCTTCAAATGGTTTAGAAAAAATAATAAAAATGTAAAGAGAAGGAATAATAAAAAGTGGTAAAATGTTAATGAAGGGGAGAAAAATATCATCCTCTATTCACCTATGTTCTTTCCCTGAGGTCTGAAAATTAAACTTACCAAAAACCAGCTTAATAGGAAAAAGAGGTTTATTCATATACACAGGGGAGCCAGCAGAAGAAATAGCTGGCTTATTAAATGTTTTAAGTTAAAGACTTATATACCTAAGTCAGGAGAAAGGAGAGGGGAGGAAGACTTTTCTGGGTAAAATAAATAGGTTTCTTTAGGAAAGACAAATGGATTTTTAGGAGACCAAACCGAGATAAGAAAGTTAGAGATAATGTTTGTCTGTACAGATATAAATAGTCTTTCTATCTCCTTCAGGGCCATAAAACTCCTCTGGAGAAGAAATTTGGGGTAGATGTTATTCACATTCTTCCTTCTGGGAGTAAATCCATCCCAAAGAAGGAATTTATGGCAGCCTTATTTTCCAGACACTGCTTCTTTTAGTATGATATGGAAAGCTCCAAGAAGACTTCTCTCTGCATCTGTTGATGCTCAAATGTCTTGAGCTTAAAATAATCTTTATAATAACTCTGGGGTTCTGAGTGAGTCCCAGTATTAACAAGTGGGAAATCTTGATGAAAGATGTATAGGTGTTTCTTGTACTTATTTTGGTCAATTTTCTATAAATTTGAAATTATTTCAAAACCAAAAACTTTTAAAGATATGTTCACCCCATCCTAACAAACTGGAATTTAATTTTAGAAATATTGCCAGCTCATTTGTTTCTTAAAGAAGTGGCAACTATAAAGAATGGACTGAATGTAAAGGGAAAGATTTAATTTCCATAAATAAGTGAGTAGTAAGCATCTATCCTTGAGGGAGAGGGCCCTGTAAGGAACATTAGTAACTTAACCCAGGTAGAACAGGGTATTATTCAGGAACCTCAGCACTCTGAAGTAGGAAATGCAGCCCTTACTGTCAGACAACCAATCTCAGGCTGAGTGCAGGATAACCATTCAGTAAGAAGGCTCTGCTGATGGCTTTCCGGACTATAACCCATTGCAAAGATGACCTTGTGTCCAGAGTTTGATTTTCTTGCCTAAATTCTTATCTTAAGAAAATAACATAAAGTTCAGATCTTCAAAGTTAAAAGGTCCTTCACAAAATGAACTTATCTACGAAACAAAAACAGACTCGCGGACATAGAGAACAGACTGGTGGCTGCCAAGAGGAAGTGGGCAGGGGAGAGATGGATTTAGGAGTTTGGGATTAGTAGATACAAACTATTACATACAGAATGGATGGAGAAGGAGGTCCTACTGTATAGGACAGGGAATTATATTTGGCGTCATGGGATAAACCATAATGGAAAAGAATATAAAAAAGGATGTACATATACGTGTAACTGAATCACTTTGTTGGACAGCAGAAATTAACACAACATTGTACAGCAGGTATACTTCAAAAAAAAAAAAAAAATCCTGAGGTGTCAAAAAGGAAACCAATTTAAGGTAACCATCTCAATATAAACCCAAGAAAGAGGGGAGCTGCTTTACAAATAAGAGCTACCCTAGATTATAGTTGACTCACATTATACTGTTTAATCCATGTTGCCTAATTGCTGTGGCAAACTGTTAAGGGTTCAGCTGTTTTTAGTTGCTTTGGTTAAAGGTCAGGAGGGAGAGGTTATTTGGAAAAGATAATGAGAAATACTCATCTCTAATTGTAATGAATTTTTCTTCCTTTACTTATTTAATTAATTTCTTTTCAAGGAACTCTTGACTCAGCATTCATTCTTCCCACAGTTGAATGTTAAATATGTCAAATAGTTGCTCCTACACAGTAGCTACTAAAATAAAATGGGAGCATCAGAGAGCTAGGGTCAAACTAGAATATCCTCATCCCCAACACTTAATTCAGTTCTAGGGATGCTCAAATTTTTTTCTGCTTCAATACACAAGGGGGGATGAGAGTCAAAGTGTAACATGCTCCCTAGTACAGTTCCCACAGGATCAGCTGAAACCTTGTTCATTTCTCATTAAAGGTAACTTATCAGAATTAAGTGAGGTCAAGTGACATTATTAGAGGGAAGCCATTAATTCTAATTATGAAAAAGGATACCTCTTGTAAATTTAAGTGCCAACTATTATTGGTAATAAGTCACAAATAGCTATGGATATGACACATATTATTTGTATACATTCTAGGTTAAATTTTATTGTTGCTTTTTTTTTTTAAGCATTATTGCATTTTCTTCTTTTCCAATTGTTTTTACCTAGATCCCTACCATAGCATATCTGAGAGAAGGGTGACAGAAGCACAGAAGTCTGTTAGAAATTGCTCCAGCCCATGAATTGATACTGATTAAGTCAGGACCTCTCTATCAACAGCTGGGGGACAGAGGTGGTTGAGAACTGGGATGTGGAGAGCAGAGCTTGCAATCTCTCTCCCCTGCCCACCCCTCTCTAACAGCTTTACTGAGGTATATTTGACAAATAAAAGCATATATATTTAAGTTGTACAAGTTGATGTTTTGATATACATACATTGTGAAATGAACACTGCAATCAAGATACTTACCATCTCTATCACCTTGTATAGTTATTTTTTTCTTTTCATTCTTTATGTGTGTGTGTGTGTGGTAAGAGGACTTAAGATCTACCTTCTTAGCAAACTTCAGGTCTATAATACAGTATTGTTAATCACAGTCACTTTGCTGTATATATTTCTCCAGAACTCATCCATCTTGCATAGCGGAAACTTTTTACCCCTTGACCAATATCTACTAATTCCCCTCCCCCAGTTCCAGCTTCTGGCAACCACCATTCTGCTTTTATGAGAGTTTGACTATTTTTTGGTTTCCACTTATAAGTGAGATCATGCAATATCCATCTCACTATGTCATTCCCATGGACAGGACTCCTCTGGCTGTAGAATGTTATCAGTCAGGCCCTGGTGGCCTGACCTTGGTAGGCACATTTGACTCAAAGGTGACAGGATAGCAGTTAAAATCCAAAAGGACCAGAGAATGGGTTCCTCAGTCCAGGTGGCAGCCACTGCGGTGTATTCTTATATTTGGGTTCTACCTGTGGTCCCAGAACCCAGAGAGCTGGACAGGTTGATGCCACACGTGCCACCTCCTAGCTCTGCCCGTGGTGCCCTTGTGTGAAATAGGCTCTGGATACTTTGCCATTAAATAACAGAAGCAACATTAGTAGTAATGAAGTACATCATGTCACAGCAAGTGCTATTTTTAAAAATTATTTATTTTTGCTAGCGGCTGGGTCTTTGTTGCTGTGTGCACGCTTTCTCTAGGTGCGGAGAGCGGGAGGCTACTGTATAGCTGTGGTGCACCGGCTTCTCCTTGTGGTGCCTTCTCTCATTGCAGAGCACAGGCTCTAAAGAGCAGGCTCAGCAGTCGTGGCTGCAGGCTTACTTGCTCTGCAGCTTTGGGATCTTCCCAGACCAGAGATTGAACCTGTGTCCCCTGCATTGGCAGACAGAATCTTTTTTTTTTTTTTTCCATTTATTTTTATTAGTTGGAGGCTAATTACTTTACATTGCAGTGGTTTTTGTCATACATGAAATGAATTAGCCATGGATTTACATGTATTCCCCATCCCGGTCCCCCGGCAGACAGAATCTTATCCACTCTACCACCAGGGAAGTTCAGCAAGTACTATTTTATAATCACAAATATATGAAGTCACTTTTATTACGTCTATTTTCCAGATGAGAAAATTGAGGGGGATTCGCTCAATCCCCAGGGGGACTTCTGGCCCTGGGGGGCCCTTCAGAATTGGGGCAAGGCTGCTGGGCCTTTATATGCCACAACTAGGCTTTGAATACAGGCTGTTTGGGAAAGAGGTAGAAGTCAGAGCAAAGCAGCTCTTTTGGGTTGAGGTACTTGCTGAAGGGGACTGACAGCTGAGGACAGGATGGATTGGCAGCAGCACTCCCAGCATTAAGGGAGATTGAGGTCTTCATTTCTGCAGGGGATAAGATTATCCCCTTCAGCATCTTTGTTTCTGCTACCTTCCACAACACACACACATACACAAACATACATACACACACAATCCAATCCATGGCACTACCCAGTGCCTTTTAGATTTTTTAAGAGAAAGGAAGAGAGTTGCTACAAAAGACTGATTATGGCCTGAAAAGAGAGAATTAGACTGCTGAAAACATATTTGTTACTTGGATTGCCCAGTTTTTTTGTTTTTTGTCTGATGTTGGCCATGCAACACAGCTTGCAGAACCTCAGTTCCTGGACCAGTAGTGAAAGCCTGGGATCCTAACCATTAGGCAACCAGGGAACTCCTGTATTGCTCAGTTTTAAACTGCTTACAAGGAAGAGGCCTTTTCCCTTGCTGCTTAATTAATCTTTCAAAATTCGCCTTCCATAACTCTGACTCACCATACATCTGAATGCTTGTTTCCAAGCTTCCCATTAGAATTTGGGGACTGCTCTCTGCTCCGAGAATATAGATAACTCCAGAGACCAGCAGGCTTTCAATCAGTACTTTCTCTTCCCTTCCCTAGACTACTGCTGTCTTGGACCTCACAGGCTATGTGATGCTAAAGGAGTGGAGGTTTTCTTCCACTAGGTACTAGGTGCAGTGTCTGGCACATATGTAGGTGTTCAATAAATATTAGTCAGAAAACTAAATGGTGCATTTTAGTTGAAAACTTAAAACATTTCTTCTGATGCTAGCAACCTTTCACCATTCCCTCAGTGTTTGTGCCACAGGGTTTCCCACTGGCTACCCAAAGCACACGTGGCACTAGTGGTAAAGAACCCACCTGCCAATGCAGGAGACACAAGAGATGTGGGTTCAATCCCTGGGTCAGGAAGATTCCCTGGAGGAGGGCATGACAACCCACCCCAGTATTCTTGCCTGGAGAATCCAATGGACAGAGGAGCCTGGTGGGCTACAGTCCATAGGGTTGCAAAGAGTTGGACATGACTCAAGTGACTTAGCACACGCTCAAGGCACAGATCCATTTCCCAGGAACTATGCTCAGACTTGGGACCAAAAGGATTAAAATTACTTCCTAGGCAGCCCTCTACCCACGTATCCAAACACATAGGCTAGCACTTACTTTAGTTAAACACCTAAGATTTGAGACAAAAAAATGAGGTTCACACATAGTTATCATTCAAAAGAGAACCCAGTAATTTGCAATTAAGTAAAAAATATGGTTGACTCACACATACACAAAAGTCAACCACTTTTCCTTGGTAAAGGTAAACTAAATTTAGCCAAAAAAGCAATCTGTTTTTCAAAGTAGATGTAAAGGTTCTTGCTGATATTGCACTTGGAAAAAATTTTATCCTTACAATATTTTTAAAAAATTTTTGTGAAAATAAAATTATTCTGGCTTAAAACTCATAAGCTTCTATTTCAATCCACAAAATCTGATCTTCGTCCCCCTTCTTCTTTCTGTTTAAATAAGCAGACTCTTGGCCTTGGCTGGATCCTTTGCCTCCGTCTGTTTTTCTGTGTATAAAAATGACCCTGTTTTCTGGCATTGATTCTTCTTGCTGTCAGCAGGCTGCTTTTACTGAAAAGGTGTGTTCGTGTTCTTGGCTTCACCAATAAATTGACTTTATAACTGAATTGGCAAGGTTCTGTGGGTGGGGAAGACAGAAGTGGCATATCAGGTTGGCCAAGGAATGTGAAAATTTATGTTACAGATTAGAAAAACTTTAAAATGTACACTGCACATTGTAAAAGCACTGCTGGTTGTAAAGCACTGAAGTTATTCCTCATATCTGAGAGTATGTATAAATAACATTAAAATAAAATGTGTCCAACCAGATTAGGTTTATACAAAATTGTTTCATTTGGATAAAACACATAAATTAGAGATCTCAATTTTCATAAAATTTCTCATTCAAATTCCTAGGTCTAGGGGGTTCCCTGGTAGCTCAGTGGTAAAGAATCTGCCTGCCAATGCAGGGGACATGGGTTTGATCCCTGATCTGGAAAGATCCCACATGCCACGGAGCAACTAAACCCAAGTCACAACTGTTGAGCCCGTGCTCTAGAGCCCACGTGCCACAACTCCTGAAGTCTGCACGCCCTGGAGCCTGTGCTCTGCAACAAGAGACGCCACCACAGTGAGAAGCCCGACCACCACCACTCGAGAGTAGCACTCACTCACCACAACTAGAGAAAAGCCCTCACAGCAACAGAGACCCAGCAGAGACAAAAATAAATACATAAAAAATTTTTTTTTAATTTTCTAACTCTAATTTACAATTTGGGGATAATCGTATTTGGATTTATGTGTCTGATGAATTAAACGTTTGACACGATTTAAAAAAATCTCCTTTATATTCACAACAAATACATTAGGTCTTGACTTTTTTGGAAAATGCATGCAAATAACACAGAAGGAAGAATATTTAGGATCTTTCTGATTCTCCAGAGTTTTTGCCTTGCTAACATTTCTGGCACCATAAAAAGTAAGGTAGCTACCAACTCTGTAAATCAGAGCTTCAGGAAGGCCTGTGAGCCCCACAGGAGCTGTTCATCTGACTTTGTCTTTTCAGGCCTTGCACAATGCCTGGCTCAGAGCAGGTTCTCAGTAATTGCTTAATGCATAACTGAATAGAGCTATTACTGCCTTATGGCAAAGAAATAAGCTTCGTATGACCTGATGATGTAAAAGGTAAGGAACATTAGCAGAGGATGTACACTTTCATGAAAAATGGAGGCGTGGAGACAGAAAGGGAGGGAGGGAAACAGAGAGATTGCATGCCATTAACACCATTGATAATGCTGATGATTTTAAGCTTCAAAACTTTCTGCTGTGCACCTTAAAAAGTATTCTGCATCATTTAAGCATTTATGTAATAAGCACCCATTTTTTGCCTAATGTGTTCCAGGCACTATTCTAGGCAGTGAATAAATACAGCCATGAGCAAATTCCCTACTGTTACAGAATTACACTCCAGTGGCACCCACATCACCATCCTAAAAGTATTTATAACTCCATTTTTATGAGTAAAATAGTATGACTGACCTTCCTAAACTGTCCAGTGGTTTCAATGGCATGGATTTTGCATATTAGCATCCTACTGTATTTGAAGGCAGCTTTATAGACCAACCTAAATATTTAACATTGTATTACCAGTAGCTGATACTCTAATTAAAGCAAGTTTTTACCATCAGGGAAAGGGTCTGATATATACACACTTATACATGTACACACACATACATATACACACAAAAATAATTTCCTGGTGTTCACATTTTTACAGGCTTTGCACTTTAAAGAGACTACGACTATGACCTGATTTTGCAGTGGTTTTAAGTATTTCTACATATTTTAGTTAGACTTCGAATTTGATTCACAATCAAGGTAGTTTTTTTTTTCCCCTATGAACTTCTTTTCCTTAGAAAAAGTATTTCTATTGGCTTATTTAAAACTTGACAAAGTAAAAGTTTACTGGACATATGGCAAGAGTTACCTGTAAGAGCATAATATTTAGAAAATTTCAAACATAAGTGAATTATATAAATGAGGATTCAGTTCAACTTGCAAAGGATAATACATTTTAAAAGTTTGTTTTTAAAGAAGAAGTCAATTGTAGTTCCCTTGAAAGATGCATGCTAAGTCATTTCAGTCGTGTCCAACTTTGCAACCCCATGGAACAGAGCCTGCCAGGCTCCTCCATCCACGGGATTCTCCAGGCAAGAATACTAGAGTGGGTTACCATGCCCTCCTCCAGGGGATCTTCCTGACCCAGGGATCGAACCCATGTCTGTCAGGTTTCCTGCACTGGCTGTTGGGGTTTTTTTACCACTAGCACCACCTGGGAAGCCCAATCGACTTTATTATTAGAAACAAATTAAATGTTGAGAAAACCACTTAATCCTAAATCCTTTGATGAGTTTTACAAACTAGACTTTTTTTTAAGACTTCTTAAACATTTTAAAAGTGTTTAAATTTTACGCTGAATCAAACAACTGAATTTAAATAATTTAGTAGGATTCATTAAAGTTTTAATTTTATCAAACAGAACTAAATGTATGTATTGGACTCTTATCCTCTTTGGGTTTCATCAAGTACAGAGTGTGATGGTAAGAAAACTAGGTCTAGGAGACTCAGGCCTGGGTTCAGGTCTCATCACTGCTTTGTGACCATAGAGGTGTCAGTTAAGCACTTTTGAGTAGTAATCTTTCCATCTCAAAAGATCTTTCTAAAGATTGAGTAAAAATAAGTGAAACTGCTTTGGAAACTGTAAAAAGACCATCTCACGGGATGCTATTATCATTAACCTTCTGCCTTCCTGGCAAGAACTTCCCTGGTGGCTCAGATGGTAAAGAATCTGCCTGTAACCCAGATTCAACGCCTGGGTTGGGAAGATTCCCCTGGAGAAGCACGTGGCAACCCACTCTAGTATTCTTGCCTGGAGAATCCCACGGATAGAGGAACCTGATGGGTTACAGTCCACAGGATCGCAGAGTTGGACACGATTGAGCAACTAATACTTTTTTTCACTTCCTGGCAGTGAAGAAAGAACATTCATCATAGATCTCTCCACCCCAAGCTGGGGGATCACATCCCAATAGTGGTAAGCATTCCACAATCAGGACAGAATAGTGAGCGCAAAGATGTGTGAGTATTCTTCTCTATCTGTAGTCAGGTGCAAAATTGGACTCCGAGCATGAGAACCAGTTCTGTAGCTCATACTCACCATCTCCTGACTTTATGCATTAATGGCAACTCTAGTTAGCCATGTGGTTTAAGGTTTCTTTATAAGTTCAGATAAAGACTGTGATGAATTTATCTGGAATTATTTCTCTATTAATTCCTTTTGGAACACAACATTGGGGTGCTAGAATATAGCATTGTTCTTATCCTTCCCTATCTTGTTTTCTTCCAATAGAGAAAAAAGGAAAATGGTCTTCACCTCCTCAACAACCTCTATTCAAACTGCACCTGTTACCATCCACTTTTTCTTTCCTGCTTGCCCAGTGATCTTTCATCCTATGCTTTGCTGATTATATTTCAAAAACCCAAACCTTTCTAAAAGTCATTGCTTTATTGCCACTGGCAATTACACCATTATTTATCTACTCCATTTTCCCCACAAAAAACATGTGTCTTATTATGCCCATAGAAAAACACTACATATTTGGGATATGCAAGACACAGCCACCTACTTTCAACCTTACCTCTACTTTTCACTTATTATCTTTCCTTTAATCATTTTTCTATACCACCAAACTTGTCTCCTAAGGTGTCAACTGTTCCTGTAACAGAAACCTTTGCTCTTTGAAAGAGTAACCTCTTCTGTAGTCATATTATATTTATTTCTTATGTATTTCATACTACTACTAAAAACAATTTCCTAGAAGTTGGAGCATTAATACTGGTTATACAGTTGACGATCTGTGTCTGCATATATGTGTAATGATATGGTTGTTTTTAAAAAGACCTTACTATTTGAGATAAGTACTGAAATATTTATAGATAAGATATAATCTCTAGGATTTGTTTTGAAAAACAACAACAACTATGAGAAGGGGAAAGGGGAATGGATGGAACCAGATTGGCAATGGGCACTGGGCACAGCTGATAAGTACATGGAGAGATAACTACACTCTTCAGTCTATTTCAATATTCTCCACAATAAAGAAGTTTTTCTCTTCACTTGTTATGGTTTGGGCTACTCTCATTAGACCTAATATATTTAGATGACCTTTACCACTTACAAGGTGCTACAAAATCCAATACCAAAACATAAAATTACTATATAGTATATATATTAGTAGCAGCTATCATGTTTTATTTACCCTGCATTAGGCTACTAGTGGGCTTCCCTGGTAGCTTGGCCAGTCAAGAATCCGCTGGCAATGCAGGAGACCCCAGTTTGATTCCTGGGTCAGGAGGGAGAGGCTACCCACTCCAGTACTGGGCTCCCCTGGTGGCTCAGACAATAAAGAATCTGCCTGCAGTGTGTGAGACCTGGGTTTGACCCCAGGGTCAGGAAGATCCCCTGAAAAGCAGGGCAACCCACTCCAGTACTCCTTCTTGCCTGAAGAATCCCCATGGACAGGGGAGCCCGGTGGG